AACAGAAGATTTCTTGGAGAGCATGAAACCAGAGCACCAAATCATGCTGAATGACTCTAATGGCTGGTGAAATGCATCAGTGAGAGAAAAGCTGTTGGTTGGATCTATTGATGATATAATTTCCATTGGAACTGAAGATCAATATCTATTGGTATTGACTGTACATTAAAATTTTTTAACTTAATGTAGCAAAAACAATTATTGACAAATTCATTTGTATGTTGCTGATTATTTATTGAGAAATTCACTTGTTTTGTTCTTATTGCTTTATAGACAGATCTGACTAAATAAAAGCACTCTTCTCTCACCAACCTGAGGAGGGCCAGCAGGGCTTTGCGTTCCCTAGGGCAGAGTTAAGAGATTTTTGCATTTAGCTAAATTGTGGTTCTGTGGTATTGTAAGCAAAAAGTCAGGAGTTACCTGAGAGGAAAGTACCTTCTTCAAATAGGAGCTAAGAAGAAGTGACTTAAAAAATTTTTTTTTTCTAATGGAAAGGGTGGAGAGGCTTTAATGGGAAGGGTGAGAAAGTGGCAGACTGCTGAAGGCAGCGTTGGGACGACTGGGGCCTCGTGAAGGGCCCTGTGCCCACACCTGGCATAGGATGATGGAACTGCCCACATCCACAGACGTCCTAAATGAGAATCTCAGCAGTGACCATGATGCAACAAAGACTAGAAATATTTCCTGGATGTCCCATAGCACCCAGGCTTTCGAGAAACACGAGAGGGGGCAAAGCTCTCCAACACCTGCCAGATTTTTTCTTGTCACTTATTCAAGTAGGAATACCAAGTCAACTTTATTTAATTTTGAAAAATTTTTTAAAAAATAAGGTAATTTTTTTGCACCAGAGTTGTGGAGAAAATTTCATGTCAGCTACACAGGCCTTTACCCGGACACACAGGAGTTTACCTAGGTGTTTCAAGCTTTTCTTATCAAATAGTCCAGGTGGAAATGACATGGAAAATTGTCTAAGCTGGGCTAGAAGGCTACTTCAAAAACCAATGAAATGTGAGACATGAAATGCTAAAGCACCAGGAAAGCTCTGGGAAGCAGATGTAAAAATATAAGATGTGGTCAATGGCATGAGGTGTTAAGGTAGGAAAATGTGAAGACTGTTCCCAAAGCAGCCATGGTGCGTGTTAGGGTAAATGAGGCAGGAGTGAAAGAAGAAACTGAACAATGGGCTGAGATCACAGTACAGAACACCATAACTGCTTGACTAAGAAACTGAACTTTGGACACATGAACTGTTTTTTAAACATGTGATAATCTTAGCTTACTATCTTCCTCTTTGTAGGATGGCATTCAAATCACACCCCAGAAGCCATGAAAACAGTTAAAAGTTTATGAAACATCTGAAACGTGAAGTACAGGGCAAGGTTCTGAGGCGGGAAGTTGTAGGGGAAGGAATTCAGAAATGAGTAAGTTCCTCCTGGGTCCATAATGTAATGGGCAAGACAGAAAACAACTTATTTTTAGTTCAAATATCAGATTAATGTTTACCACTGCACTCATGCAAGACCCCACATTTTTATGTATACCACATTTTTCATCATGAAAACAGACCACAGAACAGGTGCAGCTTCTGATTTATACTAGTGCAGCTAAAAGTGTCTTCCAAGAGAAAACGTGGGAACTGGGTAATGAGAGAGAGGAGCAGGAGGTCTAAGGACAAGGTTTACTTATCTGTCAGACCAAAGGCACACACTCCTGGACCGACATCTCTATGGGAAGGGCTGACCCTGGGATCCCAGTCTGCCTGAAGCTGCGGAGTTGTCATGTCTAGTATTCCTAGATGGTTAGAAGCAAACAGCATTTTTGCCTAGGTCCACAATCCTTTTGTGCTAACTTTATCTCCTAAAAGTAGGCCTCTTTCAGGGCATGGCATCTCTGAATATGCCCCACAACCCCCAAGCTTCTGCTATCACAAGCAGAAGCAAATAGTCAAATGGCAGGACTGTTCTTCTTTCTGAATGGGGGGGGGGGTGCAACAACCCCAAACTGGGCTCATACATCCCTAAAGGAAAGCAAAATAGGGAAAAATCTATTAAAATTCAAGAAAAGAATTTTGCTTTCTTATTCCAAAGAAGTATTACATCATTAAAATAGATTTGAAATACATATATATTATTATGGTAATATATACATAACATAAAGTTTACTATTTTAACCTTTTTAAGTATACATTTCAATGGCATTAACTATATTCTCAATAATGAGCAACCATCACCCAGAACTTTCTCATTGCAACAGAAACTCTGTACCCATAAAACAATAACTCCCCATTTCTCCTTCCCCAGCCCTTGGTAAGTCTATCCTATTTTCTGTCTCTATGTATTTGCCTATTAATTAAATTTGTCCATTTGTGGACAATGGATATTTCAGACTGACAGACAGGCAGGAGGAAAAGAAACTGAGACCAGCCCAATGCAGCTTCCCTCAGCTCTTTCATGCTCTGAGGCATGGTTTGGCTTCTTTCCCCTGCAGGGTCATTCCTCCTTCCCGGACAGCTGGTTGGTAATGATGCCAATAGGCTCCTTCTTGTCTCATCTCCGTTCCTTCCTGTTTTGTACGGAGACTGATTTCCCCTTTACTGACTCCATCAGCTGAGCTCAAAAACAGGGTCACATCTTGGCTCATGGCACAAATTGCTTCTCGTGAAGCCTGGCTTAGTTTGGGTGGGCAGCTGCCAGGCTTCTAGTCTCCTGAGAGGCTGTTCTGGCTACAATTGAGTGTTTTGTGTGACCAAACGGGTGCTGGGCATGAGCCAGGCTGGATGAAGTGGTGAGTTGTTCCTGACACTTAAGCCTTGAATTATGGAGGGTACTGTGATATGGAAGATGACTCTCCTCATGAAAAATAAAATAAAGCCAGCCTCTGCTTTTCCTGAGTGGTTCTTGGTTTGTAATTATCAGTAACTTTCTCAGAACTGACCAATCAACTAGGCAAAGCCCATCCCTCAGCATCTAGCACTTGGGAAATTCCACTTCCAGATCCCACTGGAGACAGAACAGATTTCCCAGTGGGTATTCCTAATTTGAAAAATCTGTCCTCGAACTTCCTTTCTTCATTCTAGAGCTACTTTTCCAGAATGAGTCTCCTATATCTGTGGCTAGATGTTCTATGTGTATGTTCAAATGTATAGGATGTCACACACAATAGTGCATAGGCCAGACTATGGTACTTCTGGTTAAGATGATTTTAAAGTGGCTTCAAAGGGACCTAACTAGACCTTAAAGTCATGGTCCAAAATATCCTGCTGTCATTGGCGTGGACTCTGTCCAGCTTGCTATGCTGGAACAGTTTGTTGTTGGCTGGCTTGTAGACTTGCTGATTTACTTTGCATGGCATTTGCTCTTGTTTTAAGATTCTTTCTCTTGGTATCTTCTTGATACCTTTTCTATTTTTCATATCCTGAACCAGGCTCTTACCTGAGCCCTTCGTCTCATTATTCTTGTCTTGCTAGTGGAGATAGGGTTTGGTGTTAGATACCTCTGCCTTCAAAGCCCAACTCTGCCACCTACTAGTTGTGTGACCTTGGGCAAGTAACTTAACCTCTCTAAGCCACAGATTCCTCTGCGAAGTGGGAACAAATGACTTGTTATTCTTAGGGTGTTGATAGAGTAGCCTAAGATAATTAGGAAAAGTACCTGGCACATAGCAGACATTCAACAAATATCAGCACACGCCCCCCACCCCTTCTTTCTCATTTAGTTTAATGTAAGCCTTTCCCAGTCAGTCTTCAGCCGACCCGAATCACTGAGGCAGAACCCGAAATGTCCAGAGTTCTTCTAGGTCTAAGCTCCACACAGGCTGCCCTCAGAGGAAGCGGGGTGATTGACAGCCACTGTTCACCTGGCTTTGTGAAAATGGTTCCTGCTGTCTTCATCTGAAGCAGCACTCCTTCACCTCTTCAGCCAGGCTATGTCAGGGAGGGTGGTGTTCCACGGAGACACCAGGCAAATTAAGCCTAAAATACCTGTGATGTGAATCCACAACGTGCAAGTGACAAAAGACAAACCTAAGGAACCACAGGAAGTGCAATAGGGTTTGGTTTCACCAAGCTTAAGGGACTCTTGCAAGCAAACCCGGACGGGCTCACCAGCGCGTTGTTAGCGAGGCAGATAATTGGGTAATTGGAGATCTTTTCCCCAAGACAGGCGAGGGCGCTGCTGGAGCGCCCGGAACCCCGTCGGGGCGCAGGACATTGCGGCTCAGCTTGATAAACAGTCGGGGCTTAGGTTTCTGTTTGTGAAACTTTCTGTATTGATTGGCAGCTTCTCCCCAGCACCCCGCGGATCTGGATGCTCCCCGCGGCACAGCGGTGATGGGATTCCCAAGCCTCGCTCAGTGTTCCAGTACTGACAGCGAAGTCCTCGGAATGGGGCTCCGAGCCAGCTGAGATCTGAAAAACGTGGCTCTGTTCTGGGTAAATTACAGTTCCCTGCTGGGCCGGTTGACGTCTGTGCAGACGGTAACCCAAATTACTTAGGAGGATCACGCTTCACGTCCAGCGATTGTACCAAATACTAAATGCTGATGCTCCGGGCGTTTGGGGCTGGGAGTGTATGTCCGCCGGCTCTACATTCGTCTCCTTTCGACTTCTGAACGCGCGGCTCGGTCTGGGCCCCAGCCGGGCAGGGCGAGATTTGGGGAGGCAGGACGGCGAGAGCGCAGCACAGCTGCTCCCGGCTGTCCCAGCCCGGGTCGTCCTGCGCCCTGGGGAGGGATGAGGGCAGAGGACCCGGCTGTGAGGGGAGGAGATGGGAAACTCCGGGGCCCAAATTCTTTCCAGCTCTTTCCTCGGCGACTCCGGGTGAGCAGCCCGCGCGGGAGCGTCTGGGATTGCCTAGATAGCCCGGATTTGGGGGGCCGGGGAGGGGCGTGGCGGCGTCCCGGCGCCGCTTCCCTCTGTCCTGCTGTCTCTGCCGCGGGGGCGCCGCGGGGGCGCCGCGTCCTCGCAGCGCTGCCGGGACCCACGCCAGGCAGAGCCGACGCGTCGCGCACCTGGAGCAGCTTTCCACCTCCCGGTGAGTCGCGCGGGGCTGGTTCCAAGCGACGAGCCAGAGGTATGGGGTAGGTGTGGGAGGTGGCTGGACAGGTGTGGGTGGGGGGGAGAGGCGCCACAGACTGGAGGTAGCCCAGGGTGAGTCAGGACAGTTCTGAGGGCCTTTGGAGAGGGTAGGAAGAGGCTCCTCTGCAGGGGTGGCGTGTTTTTATGGCGTTCACTTGCGAGGGAGGGCGACTCTGCTGGGCTTGGGTCCGGAAGGGCCAGAGCAGCACCTCAAGGCACTTTTGCGCAGGATGACTGTCAGCACAAAGCTTGCGCCCTGCGTGGTTCCAGGCGCCGTGTTTCGGACTCGCTGGCTTTTCTCGGTTCCTCCAAAGTCCGCACTCAGACTGAACGCCCGCGGCGGACCCCCTCCCGAATTTAACCAAGCTCGGCTGCAGCCCGAAACCGCCCCGCCGCTCCGAGCGCACCTGCTGAGATTGCTGGGGAGAGGTGGAACTGCGGCGCTTTATCCTTACCTGCCCACCTGGCCGCGACCTGGCGGCGGGGTGGGGTTTACTGCAGACCCCCCGCGAAATTGATGGTCAGTTTAAAGAGTGTGGAGAACTTTCAGAGGCGCAGTTACTTAGCCCTAATAGGAATTAAGACTCAAAGGAAAGGGTATATTCAGGAGCTGCCCTTACTGTGCTATTACAGTGGAATTTGGAAGGATCTTCTAGTTGAAGGTATGGTGGGACAGTGCGAAGAACCGAGGGAGTAGGGAAACTTGAGTCTGACTCTTTCCTAAGGCCGAATAGCAGTGAACTTCAGTTTGCTCTATCTAGAACTTCAGTTGCTGTTTTGAGAAGCGGGAGGAGGATGACTTGCTTACCTCAGTGGGTGGTTTGGAACATAGCTGGAGGAAGGGTAGTGTTTTGAAAAGTATAAAGTGTGATCTCTGCAAATAAGGTATCACCGCATTGCTGTCCACACCTTCTTTCTGGCCACCAGCAGAACCTTGTTAGGGACACAGAGTTAACGCAGCAGCTTCCCGGCAGTGCTGGAGTTTCCCAGGTTACCTGTCCAGAGTGGCTGGAAGTGCCTGTTTCTCAGTCTCTGAAGTTCCTCTTCACTGCGCTACCATGTGAGACGGCCCATCACTGCGTGTCATCGGGGACACGAACTTTGCCTTTTTTCATCAGCTTCTTTAGGGCCTGTACAAAGTGGGGGAGCTGCTAGGAACCGAGATGAAAACTGAGTTGTGGCCTCTGGGGAGTTAGACTTGATTAGACATGTTGTTCATGAGATCTGTTTAACTCCAAAAACATCGTTTGCTTTCTGAAGTTGGAGTTCTTGATTTATGACATGGAAGATTCTGTCAGAGCCAAGGATAAATATCCAAAAATAACATTTTCGTTTGAATGGTCTTAGAGGTAGATAAGAGCCTCAGAAAGAGTACATCTATCTCCCCCACCTGAATGAATACAAGTAGTAATAACATTGACAAATTTGAAGAGTTTCCCTCATCGCTAAATTTAGATTCATACAGAAAGGAGAGAGTCACCTGGTTGGATGTGTTACTGGTAAAATTAAGCAATTATTTTTAGATAAGCATGTGCAGTCTACCAGAGATTATAAACATGAGTGATGCTAGCACCAGTGTGTCATATTGTATTTTACCATTATTCCAAGTAAGACTTCTGATTTTTTTCCATTTTAATTAACAAACAGGAATTGAAGGATAACTCAGTGAAGAGGTTGAAAAATAAAACTACATCTCCTTAATTGTGCTGACTTAAACTGAACTGTAAGTCTTTATGAAATCATGCTGATGGTGATAATAAAGCTAATTTTTATAGTATATTGTGTGTGTCAGACTGAGATAGGCATGTTACAGTTCACTTAGTTCTCACAATAATCCTGTGAAGAAACTGAAGCACAGAGAGCCTTGCCCAACATGACACAGCTAGTAAGTAATTTCTCTCAGATTGGTATAAAAATTAAATTTGGGATTCTTTTTTTTTTTTTAACTTCTGTACTGTGTTTAATCCCACACATAGGGGTGGCATGAGAGGTGTCACTAAAGGCTCTGGAACAGGGTTCCACAATTTGGACCCCGAGAATGCCATTGCGTTGCTGTGTTGTCTTTACTTTTCTGGCCCTCAATTTTTTTCATCCACAAAATGATGATTATGATCCTCTATTAAATGAATGCTTTAATTCTCACTAGAAGTGTGAACTTTGGAAGTGAAATAATTCACAGAGATAAAAATGTTTTAGTCAAGTATTTTTGTCATTTGTAACGTTAGGCTGGCAAATGGCAAATAAATAGAAGCTGAAATTGTTACTAAACTTAACTGGTTTGTTTGCCTGCACACAGCAAAGGCCAATAAAATGGAACAGGAGTTTTCAATGAAGAAAGTAAGGTTTATTTGAGGAAATGGCACCAACCTGGGAGACACAAGACCTGGCTCCTCAATGGTTTCCAGGAGATGAGTTATACAGAGGAAAAATCATTAATCATGATGACTAAAGGAGTTAGGGTCATGGGCTCTACTAATAGGTCAGAGCCAGTTGATCATTGCGTTTGGTCCTAATGTCAGCCATGAGGTGGTTCTGTCTGGCTCAGCAAGAATGTGCTTGGTTAGGGTCATTCCACCTTTCTGAGTCTGAGGCTGAAACACAACTGAGGCCTAGATATTATCTTTAGTTTGACTGAAACTCGGTCTACGTGGTCAACAGACCTGAGCCTTTGTTTCTAAGACTGTTGGATACTGACCGGAATCTGACGTGCTAAGGGCTTAATGATTAAGGGAGTAGACAAGAAAGGAAAGAGGGAGGCAGCTGAATCATGGGGCTCCTAGGCTGGATGAGGCCATTTTGAATCAAGAAGAAAGAAAGGAGAAAAGGTCACATTGAAGAAAGGAAATTTATGCACAGTTACAAAATTAGCTATACACTTTGTGTGATTTGCTAACAGTTAGGTTTGAAAATTGTTGTGTGTTTTTGTTTTTTCCCTAAAATAACTTTAATTCTGTTCTTGGATCCTTTGCCCTACATTTATTAAAAGAGATAAATATATATTAAACCTGAAAGGTTTTTATTTTTTATTTATTTTTATTTGTTTTGCAGTTGTCAAGGAGGAAACATTTTCCTCTACCCTTCTAGGTTCTTTTGGCTGGTTTAATAGTCAAATTGACATGAGACAGGTTAGCAGGAGAAAAATAACTTAAAGTTTAATAACATGTCTACCTCCTGTGTAGACAGGACAGACCCAGGAAAATAGAGTAACTTATCAAAATGTCAGAAGCCACCACCTTTAATACCACTTTCAGCTAAAGACAAAAGATGTTGGGAGTAAAGAGTCAGTTATAGGAGATTACAGGAATAGCACAGCAAACAAGGGTAAGATTGTTATGCAGATTTATGTCCATGCTTTCTTCATCAGTAACCTTTTCTAGAGATTTATGTAGCCTCTGCTTCCTGGCACAGTGAGAGAAACACTTTGGGAAATTGAGATTTCCCTTACAAATATCTTTAGATAAATGACCTTTTACAAAGGGTAACTAATTTCTGCTTGGTTTTCAAAGCTTCTCTCATGTCTGTGGTTTCTTGAATTTAACCAGTCTAAAATGATCAATATCCCAAAGAGGCATATTTTGGGATGTCAAACTCTCCTCCCCTTCATAGGTAACATTGAAAAGCACCTCCAGCCAGCAGGTGCTTTTCTCTAGTTGATTTCAGGTGATGAAAATTGGAGGGTGGAGTTTTTATTTTTATTCTTACACTTTTCTTTCTACCTTCTTTTATTCTAACAAAATATAATGGATCAGAAAACAAATGAGTCCTGAAAGTATATGTAAAGTACCGATGTCATTGCAATAATTTTATTATTTAATGGGAAAGGAGTGAAAGACAGACAAAATAATATAGGCATGCCCTTTATACAGCTTTGCCAGAAAGCTATAAATTAACACTCTCCAGGTCTATTCCCCTGCAGATTGATGGTGGAAGGGGTTGGACAAAGGCAGTTGAGACATATGCCCAATAAGCTCTGAGTGATATCGGAAGGTATATATTTACCTGTCAGTCACACCAGAATAGGTGTGGCCACTGTAAGTGCATGAAACCTGAATATTCAATCTTCTGAATAAAGGAAGGCTTTTTCTCTTCCTCTCCCTCTTGCTGCCTGCACCAGATCCTGGCTTGTGGGGCTCCCAGGCCCTGCATTTACCATGTGGCTGATAGCCATGTGGACTTGATACAATGGTCTGATGGACTAATCTGGCCTGATGCCTGATCTGGACCTGGCTGCAAAATGGGGAGGAAACTCTGGACACTGGTCCTATTTCTAGTTCTGTTGAATCCACAGCTTCATCTTCCAGAACTCAGTTAAGAGAACTGGCACATTAGAACCCAAGGAATTTAACTCCACACAAATAAAGCCTTTTACCACATCTCAATTCTTCTGTGGGGGCTTCTGAAAATGCTTATTTTAGTGGTACCCCAAGAACCTCATGCTCACTTATGTCTGGGAAATCTGGCCCCCTTATTTCTCTGGAAATAGTACTTTTCTCTTCTCTCTTTATTTGGAAATTGTTCTCAGGAGACACTTTTGTTATATATGGCCACTTTAAATCTGGTGGATGAGGAGACAAGAACATTTATAAATGCATATTTTAAACAATGTGGGTCAGTTGTCAAATCATTTAAACTGTCCTAGAACCTATATAAAATCTTTTTTTTTTTTAGTTGCTTACTCTTAGTTTAGATTTGTTCTCTGTGATATTTGGGCTGAGAAGGAAAAGCTTGTCAGTCAGTGTCACTGACATTGTTGGACTCTCAGCAGCTGCTCTGTGCTTGGTGATAGTTGACATTCTAGAGAGATGTTTGGATCCATGAGATTTAAGGTCTTGACTTCACACCTGTGCTGTTGTGGAAAGAATTGCAGACTTGAGAGCAAGACTAGCTGGGTGTAAACTGTCCCCACATACTAGCTGTGCCTCAGTTTCTTATCTGTAAAATGAATGGTGTTATGTCTACCTCACAGGTTGTTAGGTTCGGGAATGTGTGTGTATAGAAAATTTAGAACAGTGTTAGGCACATAGTAAATGCAACATGTGTTAGTTATGAACTGATGATGATGAGTAAGATACCAGAAGATAAGAACTATGGAAAAAAGAGGGCATAATAAAATAGTAGCTACAGTAAATGGAGATAGTGTATATCTGTAGGGATGCAGTTTTAAAAATGGTGCTATGAATCTCAATCTAAATACATTTGAAAAAAGATGGGGGTGGGGTAAAGAAGGGCAGAAAGGGGTTGGTGGAGGGGCGTAGGACTATAGGAGTGTACAGTCATCCTTCGTTTATCGTGGTTAATTCGTTCCAAACTCTAGCAGTTGTACCTGGTGTTGAAGGATTCCTGGGGTGCTCAAATACACAGGTCTACAGTCCATATGTACAGTAATGTTCATTTTAATTGTAATACAGGGTGTATAATTGACTCAGACAACCGAGAGCATGCTGTATCATTTTCATTGTCTTGATCAACTTTTTGATGAATATATTGTAAAAAACTATGATAGAGTGAAGCCACTAAAGTCAAAGCATGAAGTGGTGAGGGACGACTGTAGAGGTGAATTGATGATAAGGAAGTCAGAGAAGTAACTTAAGGATACATAGACAGATACAGCAAATATTGTTTTTGTTTCTTTAAACTTAGGGAATGTTCTTATGGAAAATTTCAAACTTGAAAGTAGAGAGAATAGTACATCTGGATCCTTCTCCCATCTTCACCAGTTATCAATATGAACTATTGTGTTTCATCCATATTCACCACCAGCACTTCCCATTGTGTTATTTTAAAGCAAATTCAAGAAATTATGTCAATTATTTTTTGAACAGCTCTGTATGTATTTCTAAAAGATAGGTACTTCTTCAAACAACCACCATACTTAACTTCATTGACTTTGTTTACCACCTTTAAATTGGGATCAGCAGAACCTCCCTCGCAGTGCTGGGTTAAAGGTGAAGGAGGATGCCTGAAGCCCTTAGTATAGGGTCTGGCAGTCATGCCCAGTCACTGCTAGCTGTCATGGTGATGATCGTCTTTACCAACACTTGGTTTTTACTTTTCTTTTTCTAGATGGTTCTGTTGTGGCAGTTTTGCTGCTACTTCCTCTAGCCTCTCTATATCTATTTTAGCACATTTAGTAAGTATTCCTATGTAGACCAAAATTAACTTTAGACTGTAATAAAGAATAAAAAGCATTTATGTGCGCAAAAGGAGCTATAGCCCAGGATACACAGATTCATGTAGAAACCTAGATTGTATTCCACCAAGACAAAGGAGAGGCTGTCTTTTATAGTCAAAGTTCCTGCCCAGCTTCACGGTTAGGTCTGTTCTATGTAAATGGAGCATCCAAATTGTGCAGTTCTGATTGGATGGGGCAGGTCTTTAGTCACTTGGTCAAAAAGAGGAAACCAAGAACTCCCTTATAATAGTGCCTCAGATGGTGTAAACAAGCAGGGTAATGCTGGAAGTGAGAGTTCAGTCTGAGGCTGTTCCTGGTATACAGAGCACACGAGAATCCCTTGTCAGCAAATGGCCCTAGGCTCTCATTAGTCACAAAATTTGGGCTCTTGGTTGACCATGGGGAGTCCATCTCAGAAGATAAATTACTTCTTGGGGTCCAGTCAAATGAATCTTTCTTATGAAGTCCACAGCCTTCACTCATTCTCTATTTCTCCTTTTCACTTTCAATGCCTTTGTTCAGAACCTGACTTACAGCTTGTGCTCCTTTGA